TTGGTTAACATTAACAAAGAAAAAGGTATCTGTACGTTTTTAACTCTGACAGCATGACCATTTTAGCTATATTCACTATAACAGATACTGTTAGGTATTTCATCCTTCTTTTGGCTCCGTACTTTTTGTTAACTATTTACAGAGTTATTAGTAAAAACCTCCAGGTTACCATCGCACGAAATACTTGTCTGTATGTTTGAAGTTAAGCACAAAGCTACACAACGGACTATCTACGCTCTGCCTACCACGGGTATCGAAACCCACTTTCTAGCGTTGTAAGTCCGCAGACACACCACTGGAGGGCGCAAGAAATAAGATGCTTTAGAAATTAGCACTTCTGCGTATTTTTTTATAACGGGATGTTTACGTCAAACGTTTAAAATAGTTAATAATAGTTAATACTCGAATTCATATCTTTTATTGATGAACGTTGCAATTTTATTTTAACTGAGGACTGACGTAATATATTTTAGAACATGCGTAGTTATGGCTATACTATGAGCTACCTGTGTGCTATCTTTGAATTAGAAGTGATAGACTAGAGAAAATCCAGTTAATCAACATCACCGCCCCTGTCAACTCTTGTCAGACAAAAATAGTGGGAATAGACCGTCAATTTAATCACGGTAACGAAACAAGAACTTCTTAACCAAGTTCTGAAGTTCGCCATACTTATCCTAGGGCCACGCTCGGCCCATTAAATTTCATAAATACACATGTAACTACACTAGTTTAATGACGGGTTCAATAGTTAAGATGGGTGAAACTTTCGTTAAACTATGTAATAGTTGTTTGAGTGCCTTATAATCTCTTAATTGAAAACAAGGAATGTTTAGAAATGAAATAAGTAAAAAAGAAACGAGTAAGATAACGTTTTCAATATTTTATTTATGCCTACAAGTATATATGTATATCACACATCGTCGTTACCCCAGAGGGTTGCTTTTATGTACATACCACATAACACGTGGCACAATCTCTCTCCTTTCATTTCTCTTAAAAGTTTCTAAACAAACGTACATAACCTTTAGTCGAAACTTAGCGTGATCACGTGACGTGCCTTCAACGGCACGTGAAGCTTGATAAGTCTACAAAAATACTGATAGTCATGAGAACCCACGAGAGACCGCACTAAATGTCTTATTTTTATATTAACATAATTTTTTTTTCCGTTTTCCTTTATTTCCACTTGAAATTCCTCAAATTTTTATGGAACTGGAAGTAAAACAAGAAAAGGAAATTAGATGAAAAACAAAACTGGTTCTCTTGCTTCACTCTCCAATAAAGTGAAGTAGGATTATAATAACCATGTGGACACGTCACGCAATTCACATAAAATGACTGATGACGATGATACTCAAAAAATGAGTGAAAAAAAAAAAAGATGAATAAATTAATAGTTAACAAAGGAAATGTGGTTTCTTTTTTCTTTTAAAGCGACTGAAGTCTAACATGGACTTTACTTTTACTGTATTTTCTACGGTATTACAACCAAAAAAATTTAACTCTGTGAGTTAATCTTTAAAAAATTATATATTTTTTCTCACCTACTGCATACACGTTTCTGTTTTCCGTGAAAACTTGAGTGGAACGTAAAAAAACAACAAAAAACACACTGACGAAAGCAACAACTCAATTTTGTCCAGGAAATATTCAAATTCTTGGTGTACATTATCTCGCAGAATCGAAGACAAATACAGTTTGAACCCAGTTCTATACAACTTTTATTACACGTGGTGGCCTAAATCAGGTCCCGAGCGATCCTTGGGACTTTGTGTGGACTTGTTTCCAGATTTGAAAGTTCACGTTGTTACGTAAGGCTGCCAACTGTTCTTCGCCAAGTTTGATCTTCTCATCAATCTCCCGCGCATCCATAAGCAACTTGGACTTCATTTTAATAAAGTGATCGTAGTCGGCGTACTCCTCGCTGGACAAATAGCGATGAAGAAACAGTGACACCTGGTGGCTGCGTTTATCAATACTTTCTTTCAGTCGCCGAGCTTCTTCGTGCTGTTCACTCAGTTTGTCACATTTTGCTTGAAGAACTCGCTGAAACAAAAAAAATCCTATTATTTAAAAGTCCGACGTGTGTTTAGATGTACAACGTTATTTTTATGTCTTCCAGAGTTAAAAAAAATATTCTACAGTTACACAAGTTTATTGGTTTATTAATTCGATCATTCCGATAATCAAAATACATTCTTTTACAATTAATTCGACTCTCTACCCCTTGTTCAATTCTTAAACAGCTCAAACTTATACAATCAATAGTCATAAAAACAGTTTGTTATATTTCAACCACAGTTTGAAAACGTGAAAAAATAAAATAAAACTTGTATCTACAAGAACCTTTTCTTCATCGCCAACGTCGGTAAGTAGACACATGAGGGCGTTTTGAGCACGTGCAAGCCTCCCTGACAAGGACAGCAACAAGTTAATAATTTTCTCCATTTCTTCTACGTGTAGTCGATATTTCTCGATTTCGTTAGGTTTAGCTAGCTGTTCTACTCGTGACGTCACTTCCTGTCCAAGAGCCTCGTTCTGGACCATCTCCTCTCGAAGTGAAACCTGCTCCAGGCGCAGGAGTTTCAATTTCCTGTCGATACTAGCAATTAGTTCTTCCTGAAAATTTGTACAAGATTTATTTCGAGAGTTTCATCGTACCCCATTTATAATATACACCCAGAAAGACATCTAAAACGGCACGGTAACAAAATCTAATATATTACTGGATGACATATCACATAGTAGTGTTTTTGTGGTGTGCAACATACTATAGAAACTACTGACTTTTTATACATAAAGGAATTTAACAGAAATATTATCGACTGTTGTAAATTAAACGATAAAATGGTGTATTTTAAAACAATACCAGCAAATAATTATTGCTCGGCATTTAAAACAATTCTAAAATTGTTTACTTAACAATGTTAAAGATATTAATAGAACAAAAAACATCTTATATATATATATATATCTACTATGGATTTTTCGTATCACCTATACTAGTCGAAATGCAAACTAGTACGTGGTTTACATTTGTATCATTTTTGCGTTTCAATAAAACGTGCCCACTAGTGGCACGGCGGCATGTCTGCGGACTTACAACGCTAGAAACCGGGTTTCGATACCCGTGGTGGGCAGAGCACAGATAGGCCATTGTGTAGCTTTGTGCATAACTACTAACAAACAAACAATAAAACGTTATGTTAGAGAATGGATAGAATATTCTGGATATCAACCATTAAAGTTAATCGCACTTTATGAGAAAGATCCTCTAGGTTCTGTGCTGCCTTTGGAACATCCTCTCTCTTGCTGTCAATCGTTGATCCTCTAGGTTCTGTGCTGCCTTTGGAACATCCTCTCTTGCTGTCAATCGTTGATCCTCTAGGTTCTGTGCTGCCTTTGGAACATTCTCTTTTGCTGTCAATCGTTGATCCTCTAGGTTCTGTGCTGCCTTTGGAACATCATCTCTTGCTGTCAATCGTTGATCCTCTAGGTTCTGTGCTGCCTTTGGAACATCCTCTCTTGCTGTCAATCGTTGATCCTCTAGGTTCTGTGCTGCCTTTGGAACATACTCTCTTGCTGTCAATCGTTTTTACTCTGATGGCCACGACATCGCAGTTCTTATTGTAACAATGATTTTGAGGTGTGGCTGAATGCTTAACGGCACCACGAGATATGCCACGTTTCATCGCAATAGTTTTCGAGTTGGAAGGTTTCCTTTCGTAACCATAACCTTCATTTTGCTTGGACGAATAAGAGCATTGCTTCGAATTAACTTGGGATATGGTGGTTTTAGAGCCAACAGTTGAGTTAAAAGCTTTGCTATACTAGTCTTTCTGCTTCCATAGAGAGTACTGATGGCTCTGGATTTCGAAATATTGTGCCCTTTGGTTCTATATCGATTAAAAATCTCGCTATGTGAATGTTCTTAAAAAAAAGGCTTAGATATATCTGTTTTACCCATGAGTCTACCCGTGGGAGCATTTCACTGTCAGGTAATTGGGAATTCGTCATGAACCAAATACATGGGCCATAGGCAGGAATACGAGGGAGGGGGAAACAGTTGCACCCCACTATTGTTTCTGTGGTCCCAAATCCCACCCATGATATGGGTGTTAAATGTATCACCCGTGGCACAACGGGTCACATATTGCGATACGCCACTTCACCATTATATATAAATTGTTCATGCAAAGCGGAATTAACTCCCCCACACGTCGGTATTTTGAACATCTAAACTTCAGTTTCTTCCTTCTGAAACTAAATCGTTACATTATATGTCAGGACTCGTAATTAAAAACAGAAGATGAACTTCATGTTGAATGCGACACTTACACACGAAGTTAGCATTTTGTTTAAGGCGATTACATATCAGAAATGCCCGCAAGAGGGCATCAGGTTAGTAATAAAATAAAAAATAAATTCGTACCTTTTTACTGCTTAGTTCATTTTCTGAAGCCCAGTCCTGTTGGTCCATGTCTTGGCTGTACCGTGTCAAGAGCTTAGCTTTGGGTTCTGATGTTGTGTAATAGGCACTGTTTGGAGGTAGTTCATTTTCTTTCCTGTAGGACAACACAATTCATTCCCCTCTTTCAATAAACACACACTTGCAAACGTTTGCTTAGATACCACTTAAAAGAAAAAAAAGCCACAATCTTCTTCAGAAAATGTTTTACACGGTAATCAATTTTTCAACTAATTGCTCCAGATTTTGCTGGAGTAATAACAATAAATTATAATTTACAGAATTTGTAATTTTCTATTTTATCGTCATAATGTTCTACACTGCAGTTTTATTCGTCCTTAATTGTAATTCACAAACTTTGTGAATTTGGTACTGTACTGAAATGCATCGTATAAAAATATATTTGAATTTCTAAAAGAAAAAAAAAGAAGAGGTCAGGTAAGTAATCTTGGAATGTCTAAAAAAATTGACGTCGATTACTTTACCTTACAACTAAATACTACACTTATAAACTTATACTATACTTATACTACACTTTATCATTAAAAATGAAAAACAGTCGTATTTAATGAAAGAGAAGCGTTGCTACAACAATAAACAATACATAAACGTTTGGAAGTCGTTGTACTCATATATCAAAGTCATGGTGCCCTAGAGTCCTCGTCAGGATTGTCTAGAAGGCGTTGGTCGCAACTGTCATAAGCAAGATGCCCTAGAGTTCTCGTCAGGATTGTCTAGAAAGCGTTGGTCGCAACTGTTATAAGTATGGTGCCCTAGAGTCCTCGTCAGGATTGTCTAGAAAGCGTTGGTCGCAACTGTTATAAGTATGGTGCCCTAGAGTCCTCGTCAGGATTGTCTAGAGGGCGTTGGTCGCAACTGTCATAAGCAAGATGCCCTAGGGTACTCGTCAGGATTGTCTAGAAGGCGCTGGTCGCAACTGTCATAAGCAAGATGCCCTAGGGTACTCGTCAGGAATGTCTAGAAGTCGTTACGTTCTTTTATCAAAAGCATGGTGGCCTAGAGTCTTCGTCAGGATTTTCTAGAGAGCGTTGGTCGCAACTGTCATAAGTATGGTGCCTTAGAGTCCTCTTCAGGATTGTCTAGAGGGCGTTGGTCGCAACTGTTATAAGTATGGTGCCCCAGGGTACTTGTCAGGAATGTCTAGAAGTCGTTACGTTCTTTTATCAAAAGCATGGTGCCCTAGAGTCGTCGTCAGGAATGTCTAGAAGTCGTTACGTTTTTTTTTCTTTATCAAAAGCATGATGCCCCAGAGCCCTCGTCAGGAATGTCTAGAGGGCGTTAATCATTTATAAAAATCAATGTGAATCATTTATTAGTTAACCAACAATTACTGTTTTTTTTAATTATATAACAAAAAAACAAACAAAACATAGTCTAAGCTTATTAAAATCAACGAGATCTACATCCATAGTCAATCGGTTTGTATTTTGTATTAAATTATTACGAAAAAAAAATAACAACAAAAAAACGCACCAGCAAACCGATTTAACAAAGACGAATATAAATAAGATGGTTTGGTTTTCGCGCAAAGATACTAGAAGGCAGCTAGTCAACATTACCCACCGCCAACTCTTGAGCTACTCTCCTACCAACGAATAGTTGGATTGACCGTCACATTATAAAGCTTCAGCGACTGGACCCGGTGACAGGGATTCGAACCCGCGACCCACATATTGTGAGTCAAGCGCCCTACCCACTATGCTGAGATAAAATGGAACTTATGTGTTATACCTGTTTTCCGAATTGATTGGCGTGTCAGAGATGCTGGCCAACTTGACAGCTTCAGCTCGGATTGAGGATCGATTCCTGTGAACAGGCTGTCCACCTTTCTCCAACTCTAAGTTAAACAGTCCGTCCATGTAGTCGGACATAGTCTTGTGGTTTGGTGCTGGCACTGTAAAACAGAATAAATGAATGAACGGATGAAACACGTGTACATACGCTGACAAAATTCTTTGTTTAGACAGAAAGTTCAGTACAGGTCAGTTCTCTTAGCTGAATGAATTTTAAAAGACATTTTAAAATCAATTTCTCAGGTGAACGAGGTGATGTTACCCCAACAGTTCTTGTTCGTTTTTGAATTTCGCGCAAAGCTACACGAGGGCTATCTGCGCTAGCCGTCCCTAATTTAGCAGTGAAAGACTAGAGGCAAGGCAGTTAGTCATCACCACCTACCGCCAACTCTTGGGCTACTCTTTTTACCAACAAATAGTGGGATTGACCGTCACATTATAACGCCTGAAAGGGCGAACATGTGTGATGAGACGGGGATTCGAACCCGCGACCCTAAACACTTGGCCATGCCGGGCACCAACAGTTCTTGAAACAAACGATAGAGGACAAAAATATTATAGGTAGGAGAATAAAAAAATGTTCGCTAGGCTAAATTACAATTTTCAGGGTTTTTTTTTTTAAGTACGGAATACAAATCTCTCTTTTTTTTTCATGTTATTAAAAACCAACGCTGACGTTATGTTACACGTGGTTCTTAGCATGCCCATTATTGGTTTACAGAACGAAAAAACAAATAAAACAAAACAAAATGGTATATGATGTCAATAGCTTTAGATTTTAATTTGGAGAAAATTCGTACTTATTCAAAAGGTACTTCAAGTCGACCCCCGTGGGGCAACCTCCCCTCCCCATCAATATCTGTAGTGGAAACAACAACTGACGAAAAAAAAAGTTTGGTAACATGGACATGTTAAGCCTATTCAAAGTTTAACTTTTAATGATTTTAAACTTTTACCATATCTTAACTGTATGAAAATATAACACATTTTCACAAGACAATGAGCGTTGAATATTTTAAACATACGACTAAAACTCAAAAATGTTTTTCTATTACACACTCGTATTAAATCTGAGCCTCCCAGTGGCACAGCGGTATGTCTGCGGACTTCCAACGCTAGAATCCGGGTTTCGATACCCGTGGTGGGCAGAGCACAGATAGCCCATTGTGTAGCTTTGTGCTTAATTACAAACAAACAATTAAATCTGAAAATGAATTTTGCATTCTCATAGTTAGGTCACTAACTAATATTAATGTCTATAAAAACTCAGTTTCTTGTCCGTAACCATGGGGAGGGAGGGGGCCTTTGTGACCTTTTTTTTGCTTATGTTATCAAGCAAGCATAAAGCACTAACGTGTTTTTTCGTGAGCACGTGGCAACTAACGTGTTTTTTCGTGAGCAAAGTGGCATTTCAATGAACGCATCAGTCATTTTGATGTTTCCATGACTTCAATAGTTCGTTTATTATCAAGCACAAAGCTGCACGATGGGCTATCTGTGCTCTGCCTACCGCCGGTACCGAAACTCGATTTTTAGCGTTATTTCACAAATGGAGTATTTACAGTCTATGGTATTAATTAGGTAGCATTATTTGTGTTAATAATGTTATAAGTCCACAGAATTACCACTGTGCCACTAGGGTGCTATTTTTATGACAATAGAATAAAATACTCTTATATAACCAGTATTGTCTTTCAAACAGAAAAATATAATTACATTAGAATTCCAATTAGTGGTTTAAACGCGCATAGTAAACTTTTGGGTTATATATGTAGGATAAGTTTTTGGGTTATATTTGTATAATAAACATTTGGGTTATATCTGTAAAATAAATTTTTGGGTTATATATGTAGGATAAATTTTTGGGTTATATTTGTATAATAAACATTTGGGTTATATCTGTGTAATAAACTTTGGGTTATATATGTAGGATAAATATTTGGGTTATATCTGTGTAATAAACTTTTGGGTTATATATGTAGGATAAATTTTTGGGTTATATTTGTATAATAAACATTTTGGTTACATCTGTAAAATAAATTTTTGGGTTATATCTGTGTAATAAACTTTTGGGTTATATATGTAGGATAAATTTTTGGGTTATATGTATTTATATATAACAAACCTTTGGGTTACATGTGTGCATAAAATGTAACGAACTCATGGTCTCTATTTGTCTAACAAATTCGTTGAGTATGTTAGTTTAACAAATTTATGAATTAGTTTGTGTGTGTGTGGAGAGCTTCAGCATTACTAATATATAATTAACAATGAATTGGTGACAGCTTTGAAAAATGAAGTCAAAATTACAAGACACAGTCAAGCAAAGTCAAAGCTTCTACTGTCTATTTCAAAAAACATTCTTATATGAGTTAGGGTTTTAGAATTAAACAACAATTGTCGCGGTTTTAAGAGTCTGTAATAACGAACGGTTATTAATAACGAGTCTGTAATAACGAACGGTTATAGCGAATGATGAAGAATCCATTAAAACTAACAACAAGACTCCGCCGACTCGACTGTCTACAAAACATCCAATCAGAACTGACTATTCAGTGTAAAACAACCGAAGAATTCGCCTTATCTAAGTACACAGCTTGTATATTCTCTAGAGTTTACATTGTTACTTGCCAAATCAAAAATCAAACACACCGGTGACAGTCAACCACAGCAAATTCAGCAAACTGTGACATATTTCTCATGACATGCTTGCTCACTATACATAAGGTTACTAAGAACCCATCTAGCTAACAAACAAAACATCCAAAGTTTCCCAGACCCCACCCCACCCCCCCCAGAAACCTATACTGATCGCGTGATATTTGTTACGCACTTCACGTAGCACAGTAACTTGTCAGTGAAGCACGTTTTTACGTCCAAGCTGTATCTAAGAGACTCTACGTGAACAGCAAAAAAAAAGTCTGTTCAGATATTCGTGAAAAAACCACACAGTGGCTATTTTGGAAATGATGGGCTATAAGGAAGGGACTTACTCAACAACACCCACTATCAACTCTTGGACTTCTCTACTAGCATTTGACCGTCACTCTTATAGCTCGCGCACGGTCCTAACGTGTAAAAAACTTATTTTTCAGTAACGGAACACGAACCATGGACCCTTGGATCCACGTGCTCGCCTTTCACCCATACGTAGAATATAAAAGTTGCAGGAAATACAATATAGATGGAAATAAAGAGATTATCAGAAGAAGTGTAGACAAGTACTTGTGGCTGAGATGTTGAGAATGAAGACAGTTTAGAAACTAACAGGTTTGGTTTGCTTTGAATTACACGAGGACTATCTGCGCTAGCCGTCCCT